AGTCTGTTGTTGCTCTGTTCCCCAGTCTCCACAATCCTTCAAAGCCCATCTTATTATTTAGACTTTTCGAATTCTTTTCTTTCTTTTTTCTGCTCATATGTAAACCATGCCATCTGTTAAAGCATTTCTCCCTAAATATAACTCGATGGCACACACACATTTTATGTAGTTGACCAAACACCTTCAAAGAGGCGGAGGTGCTAAAAACTCGCTTTTAGTTTATAACTCTTGGGATTATAATAAAGTATTAAAAGAAAATCTAAAATATTATGCTCAAATGGTACAAGGAGGTACTAAAATTTGCTGCTCTCCACCTAAAAACTGCTAAAACCCGATGGTATTAAGAGGCAGAGGGAGAGAATGGGAGGGCTGGAGTGCTGACACGTCTTACCATGCAAATGACAAGGGCCCAACAAATGTGGCACTTCAACTCCTTCCAGGGAGCACCTGCCACCATGGAGGAGAGAGCTTTGCGGTTCACCAATAACCGCTTGCTGGTTAATCCATCCGTCGTTGCTACTGCCATTATTCATGCACGTTTTTTGACCTTTTTCCCCACCCCAATTTCAAAAAAGTAAGGGATAAAAGAAAGGGTGATGAAATGGAAGAAAAAAGCTGCTACCGGTAAATCAAAGCCGACTTGGGGCTAATCGAAATGTCGGCACATCACCCCCGTCTGACGCACGAAGATGAAATTAGGGGGAAAGCCTGGAAAAGGCGGGAAGGAGAGAAATGCGGTACAATGTTGCGCTTGTTGAAAGGGAAAAAAACGTGAGGAGAGGATGAACCGAAGAACTGCCGCCTGTTCGCATCGAGGTAGATGAGAAACTATTATAATTGAAGCCGCATGCAAAAGACTCTCCACGTTCTCTCGTCTCATGCCATGCCCCGTGGCTGACAGGGTATACAATGAACCTTCCTGTTTGATCAAGCACACTAACTTTTTTTAATGCACTTCCTTTTTGTACTTTGGAACAGGCTATAGCTACGAAACTGGAGGAATGCATTAACCCAGTTGCTATCTAGGCAAAAAACAAGTCCGGTTTATGCTGGGTGAAGTGTGTGACAAACAGCCTGACAGGTCACAAACGAAATAACTAGCCAGATATTCCATCATAATTGCCTGATTTGACTAAACGCTCAATCTGGGAAAAAGCTCTTCCGATATAATGTTAAATAGATGTGTTTGTTTGAATGAGACATTCTTCTAGCAAGCGGGTGGAGTGAACCAGCTTCTTGACTGAGAAGGCGCCATTAGCGCCCGAGCAGGAGGAAGAGATGAAGACGAAGAAGAAGAAGGAAAAGTCGGACTTCCCATACATGACACCCTCCTCTCTCCAATCCAAGGATCTAAGGCAGGTGGTACGATTTACGGAAAAATATGCTGCATATCTGTGAAATAAACAAAAAAATAATTAAGTACAATCTGGCCCAGTCCTCAAAGGAGTCTCTTGAAGTCTCCCTAGGCCGTATTGCCTATCTCGTGAAGCAGTCGCGCTCTGCCCTCTTTCAGGCGTACTTCCACCTCCAGACTATTCGTTTGCCTTCCTATTCAATATTAAACTACCAAATTATTTTATCAAGTTGTTAGAAAAGTTTTCCTCTTCGAAACAGGGTTAAATTGCATAATTTTCCCCACTACTCGTCATAAAAGTGACGGAACAAATCGCGTGGGAGTTATAGAATAATTGGGAGGCATTTTGATGGGCTTGTGGCCCAGGATACACCTCCTTTGCAGGAGGATCGAGGATGTGTCGGCGGAAAAAAGTACCAGCTCTACCGAAACAAAATGCTAGCTTAGGCAAGTAATCCACTCACGAGGATTTGCCAATATTTCATAGGTGGAAATGTTGCCAGAATAAATAAATGCCCTCTCTCCCTCTCTCCGTAATTTTAAATCAGTCGCTTTTTAGTGGTGGAAAATGATTCACCTGATCTCGAGATTCATTTCTAGTTCCCTACATTTTGGGAACTTTTTTTGGTAGATGTTAAAGAGACCTAAAATTCTGTTGAAATAGTGGGTCTTTTTCCTGTAAAAGGAATTAGGCATGCAAATTAGTGTGATTGCGTGAATTTTACAGCTCCGTCATGGCCGATTTTGTAGAGCAAAAGGCAAAGGTGCCTTAAAAAGGGGAATGGGAAGCGCTGTGACAGTGAAAAAGGCGGGTCTATCTGTAAGATTGCTTCCATCTTATCTAACCAGGCCCTACACTACACTAACCTAGTCGACTCAACTCTACCCTCTCCTCGCCTATCCTATCCTGCCCTCCTCTAAGGCACTGGGGAGCAGAGTTACCGTGCACTTTCCCCTACATTATCCCATTAGGCAGCGAAGGAGAGGTAAAATAATGCCCACATTTCGATGGGCAACTCGACCACCCTCGCCCTCACCCCTAGCTCCGGGTAAGCCAGGACTCGGAAGGGCTCAGATGATGCAAATTAACCCCACAAAAGTAGATCATTAAATGACCTAAACAATTTTCCAACAAAACTATATCTTTTTAATTGTTCTAAAAAGTTAATTAACTTAACTAAAATTTTTATAGTTTTGACAAATCTTACAGCCTTAAATTTTACGCTGATTACGGGACAAAAACTTCCGCCTTTTGTGCTGGAGGTAGATACTTATTACTAGAAAAAAATTAAAAATAATTTAAAAGAAGTGGATAATTATAGAGGGCTAGAGGAAAAGGTACAGCTAGTAGGCGTCATAAAATCTCCTCCCTTGTGTATAATTTAAAAGGAGATAAAATAGTTGCGTCTCAGCTTATGCTAGAGTGAAGATATCTTTTACTTGAGAAATTATCCTTGATATATTTATTAAAAAATATCGAGAATAATTTACAGTTTTTCAAAAGGAAGGTTAATTTTTGGGAAAAAATTGCATGTCCTTACACCTCATTCTCTCCTCCGTCTTCCTGATTCCCCTTTCCCCCCCTCCTCACCCCCAAAGCAAGTTCAATGAGTCAAGAGACTTGTAAAATCAGTTTTTGGTATTATCAACAGACGTCTTGATGAACTAGACAGTTGTTAGAAAGTATATCTTTTACAAATCCCTAAAGCCTCTGAACCCGAGGCAATTACAGTTGCAACTCTCTCCCAACTCCTCTTCTCTTCTTCCAAGAGTCGTGCCGCAGCACTTCTCTTTACAACATCCCACGTTGACCATTTCCAAAGTAGTGAATTAACAATGCGATTCATTGAATTTTCTAGCTTCAATGAAAGCCTTTGATTTTAAATTCATTAATCCGTCTCAGCAACTCCAGTTGGACAGACAGACAGACACGCTGACCCACCGCGCTCTCCAACGGGGTCATTTTTTTTGCTTTCGGCAGAGCCATCTAATAAAAGGTAAAATTTGAAGTTATTTTAAGGGTCTACATTTTGTGTGTACTCCTCCCTGCCACGTTTTGCTCATTTTATTGCTAGCCCTACATCCGTCCATCGGGGTTGCATTCAGGCAATAGTGTATGTTCATGTAGTTAACATTTCCACACAAATACTGTAAACAACTCCTTAATGAACTTTTCCAGATGTTTCATTGCTAGTGTCCCTACGAAGCACGGGACTGAGGCAATTACCAGAGGATGGCGTCATTCATGACTCTTCTTTTAGTAGTCTCAAATTGGTATTGGGCCGTAGAAATCAGGTGAGTTGTCCCTCTGGACCGAGTTCACTTACCATTGTCACCAATGTAGTGTCTTAAGTCTTCGCCGAGGTCGTAGCGTGCCAAAGCAAGAGGTGGAGAGAAGCAAGCATGGCCCGACGCCTCGGCTGCAGGAGGGAAGTGTAATTCACGGGAACCAGAATAACCACTCAGTTTAATACACACACACACCTTGGCTCTTTTTAGGGCCAAATTAATCGCTCTATTAACCTACACTTTGGACGACATCAGGACAAAAACTTTGTGCCATTTAATAGCTCATTTATCTATTCATCTACCCTTTAATGGTCTTTCTGTTACCTTAAACAGTACACCTTTAATTAAGACAATTGACTCACTTGAAGTCCTTTCTGAAGTTGGAGGAGGTCATAGGAGTATGGCGGAAGGCAGATTACCATGCCGTCGAGTGGAGGTGTAATGGCAAAGCCTTAAACGCAAGTGCAATTAAAATGGAGAGGTCAACAAGCAATCTAAGTAGTACACTACAACTTCTCCTTGTGATGGTACACTTACCACTTACATCTTTTTCGGCCTGTTTGGACAAGGACTCCATGTGACTTATCCGACCACCGTTTGTCGAATGCCATGCAGAGGCTTCATCAGGACGATACAGAAGATGAGGTGGGATCGTGTCTCTCTCTCTCATTCTCATTCCATCCCAGAGGGTAAGTCCCTTTCGTGGATCAAATTTGAGGTGGGAGATAGGAAGTCTCACGCCGTGTTACGTTTTGTTGTATTGTCTGGAAAGGATAGGACTTCCTTTTCATTAAATGATTGACTAATAACACATGAGAATCCTGAGCTCTTCAGCCAAATTGGAACCCTTTCCATCATACAAATATGCTCAGGTCGAAATCTTAGCTTGCTCTTAAGAAAGTCAACCAAACACACAAGAGGCTCGGTCTTCTGGCGATAGAGGGTGGACAATGAGGTAGCCTTGGTAGCTTTTGGACACCTGTTTATACGTATGGCATGAAGTACCCACGCATTTGTCTTCCATCACGTCCACAGCTGATGTAGATGTCGCATCTGTGCACGTTAAGTACAGACTACTCCATCGATAGCAACGCGACAGACCGTCTTCCTGGAGGTGATATATTTGTGTACCTATAAGTGAATCATCACTGGAAACGACTTGTTGATTCAATGCCACTAAGATACCACCTTGAAAGGTACTTCATCGACTTTGAAAGCACAAAAATGCGCATTAATCGGGCATGTATCTGCGGCTAGTGATGGATTTGCATAAACATTAGAGCACATTTTAGACGTCACTGTAATGACCCTGATGACAAGCTCCACCGAAAGGGGCTGGAATAACTTTTGGATAACATTTTTGCTCTAGCACTCAATACAAGTCCTCCTCATCCTTCTAATTTGGCCGATACTAAAATTATAGAGAGGCCTTACCAGTCTAAATATACAGCCTATCAAAGGTTTCAACACCCTAATTAAAAACTAAATGGAAGGCATTTCGTCACCCTGCAAAAAAAACTCGTGACTCTCTTTTTCTTTACTCTTTTTTTAACTTTCAGGTTCACTTAACTCGTGAAAAGTGGAATTGGTGAATCGTGGCTTTTTGTAAAACAAAGTGACTTCTAAGTCGTTTCCCATATTTTAACCAGGAATGGTCACGCAATGCAGATACCTTTATTTCAAGCTGCTTCGCATTTACTAGGCCATTTAGGCAGTCTCAGAAAGGAATTTGTAGTAATTTTGCTGTTTTGACCTTCCACCTCGTGGATGGAAAAGACAGGCCAAAGGAGAACACCTTGTATTGAAGAAGTCATGGTTTGTCGCTCTCTCCTCTCCAGGCTCGGAGATAGATGGCTCAATCTCTACCTGCATGTCGCCGAGATCTGCGTATTCAAAAATTTACGTATCGAAATGGTGTTAGTTTTCATTCCCACTCCCGGTTTCAGACCTTCCAATGGACAGGACTGGTTGGAGGATGGTATAAAAGTTCATACTTTTTCGTGGGAGAAAATCGGAGTCTGCCTCCTCCTCCTCCTCCTCCTCCTCATCCTCTTGCCCGGGATCGATGGCGCCTTCGTGGTCACGAAAGGTTGGTTCAATCTGCCTGCCTGCCACCCAAAAGGGTGTATTTAAACAACCGGGTAATACCTTTTTACTCATGGAATTTATGCCTGAACATGTTTCAGGAATTATGCGTAAAGCGGTAAAACAAGCAATAAACAGGTATTACATGTCTACTTGGATGTGCCTTTTTAGGCAGTAAACGGGAGAGCTACACTAATTTCGTAACTAGGTAGACGCCATCGATTCCCAGGGCGGAGACGAAGACGAAATCACCTTAAAAACCACGGTCATGGCCAGAATCCTCCACATTATGAAATAGACGATACAGCCGTGTAGGCAGTTTTTGCAATCATGAGCTGTAAAACTCCAAGAAAAAACCAGTTTAATGGACTTCGGATCATCTTTTAGTTATTTTTGAGGGTTTCCCAGAGATTTTTACTTTTTTTTCAGAAATGTGGGGACAATCCCAATGCACTGCTTTTGCTTAATTAATCAGTTTTCTCATTATTTAATGGATTCCTATTGGTTAATAGTCCTTTTTACCGGAAAAATACAACTGAAGAATGACATGGAACGAAAAGAGGGTTGGAGAAACCCACTGATGATGTTGGATCAGAATCACACCCTTAACAGTCATCGAGATGTTGGTCAGTTCGGCGGTGACTCCGACAGCCGCGGCACTTGAGTGAATTACTTCAATATGACTTGACAGATATGAAAAGAAAAAAGAAAACTATTATTTGATTACAGCTGACATGGCATGACATCCCTGTTGTCTGAGCTGATGTCCACCCAGACGTCTAACAGCTCAGTGGGAGCTGCCGATCCCTCTCTGGTACAAGCCAAGTAATTTGAACTCCGTGCCCCGAGCCAGCCAATAGGAGTGAGGGGCTCCTAACAACGACCCATTCTCTTTAGGCGATCTAGTCAGCTCTAAAGGGATGATAAGGCCGGGTTAGAAGACCATAGAGGCGGATCGCGGAGAGCTACGCATGACCAAGTAAGTACCTTCCTGATTGATAGAAGGGAACACTACGAGGTGGGCCGAAGGGCTAGTGATCAAGATGTTATCTATCGCCCCTTCTCTATCAGATAAACCAACAAAACTGAGACAAACCTGTTTTATTAGGTCAAACAATTGGTCTTTTTAACCATTTAATCCTCCAACAGCCGAAACAACTCAACCTTTGACCCTTTTATTGAGATAGGCTCGGACAATGGGATGGTTTTAAACAATTGATTTTTTTGTTAATACATAATTTATTAGAACTATTTTAAAGAAAAAATGCTCACCCCTTTCTGTTTTAGGTTTTTTTTTAGGTAACAAGCCCACCTTTAAAGATTGTCACGTTTTGCTGGTGAAAACAGGGGGTTATTTCCCTTGAAAAGACGTCTTCAGGACATGAAAATGTTGACTGACCCGCATATTTTGCAAGTGAAGGTGATTAAATGAGAAAGGGAAAACTGATTGCCCCAAAAATGGGACAAAATTAATTCCTTGAAAAAGGCGGGTGATTTGAGAGGCAAGTCCGAAATGCCATTCCATAGACGACTAAATCCGTTCCACCATGAATCAGTTACCAGAGCCTGTCAGGTGAGGCGATAGCAAAGATAGAGGTGGAGAGACGACAACAACAACAACGCAGTATACCTTCCAACAAATACTGCCCCTATTGAAAGGAAAAGATTATCTCCATCTCAAATGCGTCAACCTACCGAAGGAAGGCGACAACATCCAACTGATTGTCTATAGGGCAAAATTCCACGGTGATACTGATGCTGAATAAATATCCCTCTTCCCTACGTACCAACCGTGGACGTGAACAATGGGACATATTTTAGTGGGAAGAAAATTGTTTTGCCAATTCCCACACTCGTCCTTTCTCCGACTGCTTAATTATGCATCTGCGTTGCGAAGAAAACAGCGTAATAGGAGAGGTATGAAGAGGAGAGTGAAAGAGAGAGAGGAAAGTTGGAGAGGTAGTAATTTTCCCTATTCTACCAATACCAATTTGTGGAACAATAAGGTTATTTCTTCCACTTCTTTTAATCACTCTCCCTCCTTCATAAAATGCGATATCATGGACTGTCAGTGGTGAGGCAGAGATCAAGAAAAAATGGGAAATATCCCCAGTCCAAATTCATTTCTACAGTGGAGTAAATTTTGGCTGAAGGATTAAATGCAAATCCAGACGGCAACTTTCTGAGATAAAAAACTCATGTGTTAAGTTTATACTACACAAATACTCTTATTTCATGTTTCCAGTTTCACATGCCGCCTTTTTATCTGTTAGACGTGACAAGCGATTTGGTGATTGTTTGATCTCCCCTTTGATGTAGACGATAAGAGGAGGGGCGAGGGGGAAACATCACCCCCCAAAGTAAGGATAATGCTTCCTCCAAATTCTTCCACTTTTATGCCAAATAAATCAATGTCACTTGCCCAGTGATGTTCTGAACTTCCCTGAAAAATTTTGATCCAATTAAAGAGGTGAGGCAAAAGTTGTGATGCGATCTGAACTTATTAATGCCTTTGCCTGACGAAGAAGTACACAAAGGTCAGGTGAAAACACAGGCGCAATAATATCTTGTTCCCAAATTCGCACTTGGACGCAAGCACAAAATAAGGGGTTTGGATCACCGGAGGCCAGATCCAACTTTATGTAGGTAATTATATACAGAAACGTGGCGGTAATTCAAGGGATTAAAGACTACCACTGTGTCGGGCTCTCGGTGGTGGAAAGCAACCACCCTGACAGCGTTTTCTTGCTCCCATTTTGAGAAATTGAATAGAAATGCACAAAATGTCCAAAACCTGCTTGTTTTTCCCTATGAATAATTTATTTTTTGTATCATTTGGTGCAATCGCTATTATCGAAACGTGTCACATATATGTGACGCAGGTGCTAAAGAGGCTTGTGTGAGTAGAGACATTGCCGCACTCCCAACCAGGAGTGGGTAAGAAGTAGGGCAACGTATGCATGATAACCATTCACAGTATTTACCATACCATGAATAATCTTGACCCTCAATGGCTAATAAGGAGAACTCAAGGAGTTTCCTAGTATTCGACGTCAGAGAGAAAACTTCGGAAAAGATGAAATGAAAATATTTTTCTGGGGATTGGAGATATATTCTAAAAAAGTACCATCGAATTATTCACTAGTATTAAGAGGTTTTGTCGAAAAAACTTCCCGGTTTCCAAATTAGGTCAACTTTTGCAACATGCGGTCTGGGTGGCTCAAAGAAATGTGATGTTCACGGCAAAAGAGTCTTGAAACCATCTTTGTGCATAGTTTGGCCAGATAAATGTGACATTGTGCTCACTTTTTGAATCACACGACCAATCTCTGTGTGGTAACAAAATCCGTCTTTCTTTTTAAATGATCTCATGCAAAATTTTGTTAAAGAAAGGGGTAGATTCATTTTGCATGATAGGAGGTCTTTTTTCTCTGAAAAGTAGGCAAAAATATGCAGTTTTAATGCCTTTGTCCGTATGTAACCTTATCTCATCTTAGTTGTTCAGAGATAAAATAAGAAAAAGGAGAAGATTGGTGTAGCGCACCGAGACTCCCTTGAGGACAAAAGAAGACACAATACTCGGGCAGAATATATACTCAGCATAGAAAAGGTGTCTAGGCTACTGGCATGGCCCAAAGGCCAGCCCACCCTGCGTGGTACAAGAAGGCCAATTTTAAAGTACAAAAGTGGCGCCCCACCAATATTGAGGGATAAACTACTAACGTATTGCATTGGTCCCGGCTTAGATACTCACATTTACCTTCTGTTATGCCAAATCCCTATAGAATGCTTGCCGTACCACACAATAATGGGATTTTCATCCCATCTACCGATGTTGTTCTCGGGGTTTGACTTTCCTCTCAATTTATCCCCCAAAATGTTCACTCCAATGATATCAATTAGTTGGAGATCCCCTTGGATTTTCGTTCCTCTTCTCACCAAACTATCGACACTTTGATGTTTCAAACAAACCACTGGATGAAGTTGCAGTACCGAATGCACAAAATGGGAGGCATGCAAGTTTAAATCAGGGGTTTAAAGGTCCGCGTAATTAGGCATGCGATTCAAACAGCTGATGTACCGTCGATTCACAAAAATAGCTTCTTATTTCCCTCGCCTTCAATTTTTCATTGACAGGTAACTCCCTGAATGCCAAAGCTGGAGAAGTAACTAATTACACCTTTAAAAGGGATCTGGCGCCTCTAATTTGACACAAAATTCTGCACAAAATTCCAGAAAGAAGTGGTAGAATGTTTTAGATTAGGAGATAAACTGTTTAGTTGTTTGAGTTGCCTAAATAGTAATTATCTTTCCCAAGGTCAAACTACTCGGAGGGGTTGAGAAAATTTAAACAGATTTGACTTTCGACTTCGCGTTTCGATTGTTATACAAACCAAAAAGGAAAGTTGTGATATTGAGACTTGACTCAAGCGTTTTGAACGCGGTCCTGTGTCTATTTTTCATCTCCATGCTTCCCACTATCTATCAAAGATTTGCATCATTTTCAAAGCATTTACCCCTCCCGGTGTTCTTTTCGTCTGCAACTAACTACCACTGACTGGAGGATAATCTAACTGATAGTGGCGATAAATTTTCGACTTCTTGGGAGGTGCTAGTAGGTGGTAGCTGGGGTGCGTCTAATGGCTCTACCACATTGCCCCTTCGGGTTGCTGGGGTACTGACCTCCAAACCGTTGCATTTGCCCCATCGATTTTCCACGCGGTCATCTCTCCCTCCTCTCATCGTGAATCACTCCCATAGATAAAATTTCACCTAATTTTAAAACCATTGTCGCCTTCTTTTATGTTGCTTGTTGGTTTTGAAGGATTTCGCCAATCTCCCACCCGAGTTCTGACAAGATCTTGGCTTTGGAAAACCTCTAAGGGTTTGCGTTAAGAGGTCGTTCTTGGAGATAGGAAAGTGAGGAAAAACACAATTAAGTAATTAAAATTTCGTGACGAAGTGAAATTACCAAAGTTTATTTAAAATTGTTACAGTTTATGGGACATTTCTACCCAACCAGGTTAAAATCCACTCGGTCTTATGGGGCTAGAACGGAAGCACGAATCAAAAGCCAAGCTCATGAAGGGGACATCCGGTGTTGAGGAGTCAGAGAACTGCAACTTTTTGCAAAATTTGCAAAAAGTGCGCTTTTTGGGAAGCAAAAAGCACATAGTTTTATCGGATGAACAAATTTGACAATGGTAACATGGACCCTGACTGATGTCAGCACCACTACCACCACTTTACGATGAAGGCAGGCTAAAATGTTAACACACTGTATTCCGCAAGTGTGGAAACACAAAATGCTGCGAACAGTCTAGAAGGTGGGAGGTTGAGGCTCGTAAAATTCTCCTGACTATACCATTGTGTCCTAGGTTGAATTACTCCTCCGTAAGTTTTAAGGAACCTCTTAGAAAGGGGGAAAAGAAAATAATTCGACTACAACTTATGCAATCCCATCTTGAGTCACGTATATGGCCTCGGGTTACTTATAAAGCCATTTGCCTAGCATAATTTAAGAGCCGGCTTTATGAATCATCCTGGACAGATGGAATGTAAGCAATGAAATTAGCATTTTAACAGATAGGAATCACCTCAACTAAAAACACGTCCTCTCCAATCAACATGTGAGATTCTACACGTGTCTTGATTGCCTCTGATTGCGCCATCTAGTGTGGGCTTTGGGTTGACTGAACTACCCGAATCCCACCATATGTTAGTCATAAAAAGTGGATAGCAGCTTTAGACATTTAGGAGGAAAGAGATTACTCCTGTCCACTGATGCAACATTGACTAGGTACGTGGGTGGGGTGCGAGAGGGTGAGGGGTGGAAGAGCTCATGTAAATAGGTCATAAAACATGCCCAGTGGGTGGTGTAATTGGCCAAATTTAAAGGCTCATGTGAAGTCCTAGGAGCATGTGATTCCTTTCCTTGCCAATCTGCACCCACCTACAAAAGGTAGGACAGAAACATCTTCAAAAAAAAGTATTTTTGTCTACTCCCCGTCAGTACTCTGCATCCATTTTATGGTTTCAAACTTGACTGCTCCAACTAAGGCAGGTTCTACAACGACTGAATAAGATGGAAGTGATAAGCAACACCTGTCACCTATTTGTGACGCTGGTAGCAAAGGCGTTAAGTAGATTCAAGGCCTCTGAAACAGTGTTCCAACGGACTGCCATGATAAACGCTGACAAACTTGCACTATTTTTCTTTGAAAATTGTATTCAAAGTCATAAACCCAGAAAAGGTGGAATAGTGCAAAGATATTTCGATTATGGTTTGAAAATTTTCAATTCGTAGGAACTTTTTCTCCTCACATGAGTCACAAAGACGAACTGAATTTATCTCCTTATAACTTAGGTGTTATGACTGCAAACACGCGTAGTTTTATCACTTGGGGTAGGAATTAAGTAGGCAGTCTGGTGTACTCTCTGCAAAATCAAACATGAGTATTTTGATGTGTTTCACCCTGAAGTCTGGCTCTAACAAGTCCCAAATCACCCTACTTGACCAATCTCTAAGTATGGGAAAAAAAAGCAACAGACTTTCAGTAATTTTAGCATGTGTATAGTACCAGTTTATGTCAAGAATGAATTTGACAAGTCAGTTCGGCATAGGTGGAGCTACCCTCTACGTTTTCTTAAGGCTCCTACCTGCAATTGTCTACGATGGGGCGAATGGTCCAGCTATAGTGCCAACGGTGGTAACATTGAGTGTCACAAGGAAGCCCACTGCGGTGACAACCCTGACTGGTTAACTCGTTAAACTACGAGGGATATTGTATGGGCTGAAATACATGCGTCTCTTGTTGGTCGGAAACTTTCTCGTTCCACAAGAATTCATTAAAGAACCTCAGACTATGACAAAAAACCTAAAATTAATGAAATTAATAAGAAAAATTAACCTGAAGGAACTTTTAAAAGGTCTACCTTTAAGGACAATGATAAAGTAAACAACCAGTTTGAGGAGACACACACACGCACACGGACATTACAATGTATCCCTGGAAGGCGGTTTCTGAATATTCCGAAACCTCAAGACTCCATCTTGCGCAGAAGAAAGACCTTGTCAAACATGATGTTTTCCTCCTCTGTCAAATTTGCAAGACAGAAATTATCAAGACCTCTGCCATTAAACGCCATTGTGCCATTTTTGATTATCCCCAAGGGAGTGGCGTTGGGAACGCCTTCCTGTCTAAAGATGACGAAGTGGAAGATGAAAAATCCCAATTGTAATGTGGTAAAATCCGTAAAGCAAGCTCTCCAGATCTTTCAAGTTCCCTTTTTGGAAACTTTAAAAAGGAGCTTTTTTGAACATGCACCAATTACTCGTCAGATCACAAGACCAATACCTTCCACAATGCGTTTAATCCGACAAACTTATTTGCAGTCAAATTTGGTCGAATAAAAGAGAAGTTGCGGATTATTTTGCAATCCACAAAGTGGATTTTTGTTCCACAGATGTCCCAACTAGACTTGTAGAATTGCTTTCAGCGTTACTCCAAAAAAAATTTAACTTATATGACTTCCTAAGTTAATTTCAAAAACACACTGCATCTTACTTTATTCTTACTTTTCCTTCCCAAACAAGGGATCAAATCTTGATCACACCATGCTGTCGTCTCTTGGCGCTACTACACTCGGAATATCTTAACCTGCCTTTCATGCTATTGGCTGGAAGTGATGGCCAATTAGATGCGAGGTTGCGTCTAGCCAATGAGCGTAGCCCGAAGGTCCATGCAAAGCCTGCGCGATGTGAGTGTTGTCGCGCTCAATTCATAACCCAAGTATAATTTCTTCGAATACCCCTAAATTCTCCCATCACCGAGGGGAGAGAAGTAAATTCACTATTCAACGCAATTTCTTGGATTAATCTCCACTCGGTGTGGATTTAATGAAGCTTTCAACTTGGGTAAGTCGACTTGCGCATATCACTTACCACTGCATTGAATGGCCTTGTAAATAACTTGTAGATAACTTCTTTGTAGAATTATGCGGTTTTTTTTATTCCAACCGTGATATTTCACCCCCTTTTGTCCTTTTTATTAGGGTGCATATGTATTTTAGTGTGGGGAAATAATCCACTGGCTTTTATCAGTGGGAGAAACAAAAGGGCAGGCGTTTTAATGTATCGGAAACAAGTGAATATATAACCTTAGCAAGAGCCATATTTCTGAGTAATGGGTATGAATAACGGAGGGAAGGGGGGCTGCTTTACTGGCAAGAGCCTAAGCAACCAAGTGAGTACAACAACACCAACAGCAAAGGCGCAATAATCAAACTCTGGACACTACACTCACCACTTGGGTTGATTCGCAACTTTAGACAGAAGTGGTGAGTGTATGTGATCACTTTGAATCTGCCGATTGACTGAGTGACTGACTGGCATGGTAAAACCATTGAAAATCTATTTGAGAGGCTTGTCACCCTTAACAAGACACTTAATTTACTCTTCATTTACCAATAAAGGAGGGGTCAAATGCCACTAGATTTCCATTTTTTCATTCATGTAAGCCACCATTGTGAACACTTGTCATTCTGTCATGTCATTAAGGTTTTGTCATTTTTGAAAACTGATATACGTTGAGGCGGACGACTAAACCAAGCTAGTTTTCATTTGGATGAAAAAAATATATTTTTTACTAAATATATCAAATCAGCTGAATTTTTCATTCAAAAAGACAGCATCCTCTAAACTCCGGTCTCCTTATAGGAACAAATTCACCTATTGGGTCATAAAGCCCATCCAATCAAAAGTGGAGGCTACAAAGTGTTAAAAAATGACAATTTTCACAATGTTTATACTGTGTAGCAGTTATTCTCCTATTGCTTTAACGAGGCCAACAAAATCAGACACCTTTTGCGCATAAAAGATCGGCTACAGCGGTCACTAACCGACTGAACCAGCTAAGTAACTTTCACCGTCTCTAATCCTCGCCCTTATCAGGCTTTGCTCGTGCGACTTATCACAACACTCAATCTGCCCCTATAGCCCGATGGTGGGGAAGCCACCGAGAGATAGAGATATTTGCGCAGTTCACTTCACACTCTTTGCGTGTCTGCCTGATTTACGAGTGGCACTGCGGGGCGGGGGCTGAAGGGGTGAGGCGTGGACGTCGGGGTGGAGAATGGCTTCACGCTGACCCTTGATATTTGACCATGATCAAATTTCCCTAGCACTTTTTATCCCCTCACCCCTCCATTCTCGCCACCTTCTTTCATGTCCAATTCTAATCCGACGCTACTTCAATCGTGGTCTAGGCATACTTACCTGTTCACCCAGGTCTATTGATTGGCCAGGAAAAAGGCGCGCGATTTGGGTGCCGAAATAACATGCGCCGCTTCCTCTCTCGCTCTCCCTCCCTCTATCACACCCTCCTTTATGCATTCATTCATTCTGCCTCCTTAATTCTGCCTCTCACGCGAGTGAAAGGGGAAAGAGCGAGGTAGAATGCCCAGATCGGTGCATAATTTATGCACCATGCGCTAGTTTTAATGCACCGAATCTCCATTCTATCCCCCTCCCCGTTTATTCAAAAAAACCACGCTGTGGTTTGATTAAATTGACCTTTGGTTGCTATCTTTGCATATCTAAAGGCATGGCAGCGCCAAATAGTCATGCCGTGTGCCAGTAACGCCGTGAAGTGTTAATAGAAAACCTGATAGATTAGATTGCCCGTGTGGTTTTTGACAGCCATCTCTAGAGTACAAAGTGGACATGAAGCACGTCTGATTTGATCAAAAAGGAAGCAAATTTAACACACCCTTTATTCATCCAAATCCACGAGGCAGGATGGGGAATGTCTGTGGAATAATCGAGCTTTGTTTTGCCCCCCGCCCCCCCCCCCTACTCCTCCAGACACGTGTGTTATCTCCCAGAAAAGGCAGTAGACTTGATTAGTCATCAAACATAAACAGGACTGAGCTACCTATAGTTTGTCTGCTTGTCCGATTAATCACTTTCTGAGGGTACCCACTCTTTCCCTCTTTCTCCCTCTCTCCACCAAGGTCATTAGTTAATACGCATCGGATTGGAAAGGTCGTTGTTCTTCTACCACAATTTTGCCCCCTTTTTGTTTTTGTGGACAAAGACTCGACAGACTTTGTGTAATCATCGATCACCGCTTTTTCGAAAAAGAAGGGAAAGTACTCCTAAAAACCTTCAACCTACTGTCGACCTGTAGTCTATCATAATCTTGGTGTACAGATTCCCACCTTTAGCTGTACAAATTTTGGGATTTAATTTAATGGGCGGCTGGCGACTGCATTCCCCCTTTTGATGGTTTAAAATTTGTAGCTATAGCAACAGAGAGGAGGGAGAAGATTACGTGACTACGTGATCAATGTCTGACACGCTTCTCCCAGTGACTCCCCGAGTCAGGTTACCCTCCTGAGACGTGGTGATAGTAGTAAAACCTTTAGACTGTGAATTTACAAATCTTACTGCAGTAAGTCAAATTGGGAACAATTAATCAAATTTCATTACATTATCATTCTTGTTTGACTGCTTTCGGATTGGTCATAAATTGCGAAAGGAGAAAAATACATTTGTTATTTTCCCTCCTAAGGTGGGATAGTAGTGTCACGCAGTGGAAGCCCTTAAGCCTGTCACACACTTTTTATAGGCAAAATAATGAATTTTGGAGGTCATTTTCTACCCTGATTTACGTGTTGACTTCAACTAGCAAATTCACCTTTGAGTTGAAGGAGGGTTGGGGGGGGGGGGGGCTAAATGAAAGAAAGACTACGCAAACCCCACCCAGGCGTCTTTTCAATTGATTCAATCAACTTGATGGTGATTAAATCAGAAGGCGCCATTTCTTCCATAGTTTGATGAGAAGATGAAATTTTCTTTTTTTCAAGAATCGGAACCTCGTGGAGTGAAGTAACACGTGTCGGCCAAATGTGTGTTCGTGTGTCTGGAGGAGGCGGGGGAAGGGGGGTGGATGCAGATCGTTTGAATGAAATTGGTCGGTCCACCGACCTACCTACCTGCCTGTTTCACCGTCCCCCCGCCTCCACCCCTCCGAACCTCCCCACCGCATCTCAGCGTGTGGTCGCCATGCCTGTGTTGGTGCGCACGTGCGACCACCTAGGTGAGGTGCTGAATCATCCTTTACGTGGCCTGGCCCCAGTGGTCATTGCTCAGTGTGGGGGGGAGAGGTAGGGGGCAAGGGGGGCGTGTGCGGGGAGCGGTGCCGACTCAGACTTTGTGACATACCGATCGGAGGTAGAATGAAGAGGAGGAGAAAAGCGGATCTTTTTTCAGCTCTTTTCTCTCGGCAGAGTAGCTTTTGCCATTTGAATTCTTCCTTCTCCTCCTCCTCCTCTTCCATCGCTTCTTCATCTTCTTCAAAATTTGAGTCTCTATCCTTAAGTGAACCATCAGTTAGATTATTACAGTCAGTTGAAGAATTGGCTTTCTCAGTGCCTACAGAAATCTTCTCTCCCTCTGTTTCACTCTTTACGTAGTCGACGGCGCCACCTCAGTAGAATACAACAATAGAAGTTAATTTACTTGGCACTTAAGCAGTTTTAATGGTTTCCACATCTAAATCTTACAAAGTGGATGATAAACGTCCTTTTATCTTATGATAAAATTCATTTTCCTCTTCACTGGAAGAAATTTTACCCAATGGTAAAACACTGACTAAATTCAGATTGTCAGTAAAGTTGAAAGGAAAAAATTTATCACACAAAAATCTAAATGCCTGACGTTCAGAAGGTGAGAGCACTTTTAGGGAATTCCAATGAGAATTTGATCTTATCCGCGTGATGAAAGTTGAAAGGAATTTGGATTTACCGAGAATTGCACCTCTGCCGAATTTGCTCTGTTACTAATGCTCACAATATTATTTTTTCCCTTAAAATGGTTAAAAATTTCCGATATTTTTTTGGCTTACAAGAAGTTGGTGGTGTCACTAGAAATTGAGGAGGTGGTGCTAATGAAAGACTACGCGATAAATTGAACTGGACATTGTATTCAACAGACAGGAGGAGGAAACAAACAAAACCTTTTCCCGAACCCGTGTTTAAAAGTCAACTTTGAAGTCCTGGCCCTACCTCCTTAGAGGGTCCGAATTCTGCCTCTTCCCTACTCTATTTGCTTCTCCCCGACTAAATACTCTATCTGAATGCAATTAAATTCCCCTACTGGCTACTTAAACACACCACTCATAAATGGCCAAATTTTGTAAATTTTGGCCATGATAATAAGAAGACGAAGAAATTTGTAATCAAATCGCATGTGCGAGTAATTTGGCTCTGCGTCGTTATAAGTTCATGAGAGTCCACTCGCCTCGGATTACAATGACCATCCAGGAGAGGTCATCAGTGCGGAGTTACACGCCGCGAATGTGACTGCAAGTGGCCGCTAGACATTCCTAGTTCTAGTTATTTTAAAGAAAAACTAAAATTTTATTTTCACTTTTTTTTCATGGAGCAGAAAGAGAAGTGGTAGGGGCAGAGGGTGGACGGGAGAGGAATTTAAATTTTTTAGAACTTGAAAATATACAAATGTTTTAGCAGCCTGACACTTTATTACACTCTCAGCGAGTTGATCAGACCCGGGTGGACCGGGCTGGAGAGTGGACCACCCTCACTCGCCTGTGTGTGTGTATGTGCGTGTGTCCTCAACGCCTTCTTAATGATTTAAACAGCCGGTGCCCATACAGGGAGTTGGTGACCTCGCGTGCGATTTTCAGTCACCTGTCTATCATCTGCTTCTTTTCCTTCCCTACTTCCTTAGGTCTTGCCTCGCCCCCCAACACCACCATTCCTGCTCTCCCTCTTTGAGCCTTACGAGGCACTGTGGTAGGTAGGGCGACGTCTGCAGTTTTTACGACGTCGGCAGTAGGCAGGGCGCCGAAGTCATTAGTGATTCGAAAGAGGATCTTTCCTTTTATGAGGAAAAAACGGAGGGAGAGAGAGATTTTCGCAAAACAAAAGGCAAATTTTTTACCGCAAAGTAATAAATTATAAGTGTGTCAACAAAGACAGCTACAAAAAGCTAACTTTTTGTAGTTTCGCACGAAAGGAGTGAAGAATTGTGCACATTTGGTTCAGGCAAATCATGGCGTTATGGCTTGTAATTTGCTCTATTGTGATATCCATCTTTGAATAATATAATATAATATATATAATATAATCCTGATTATAAAATCCATTTTTGAGGCAATTGGAATACTTGGAAGTGTGACCAGCCAACTTGGTTGATCTCTCATCCATCCATCTATTCATCCGGTGGGCCGGCGATTCATTCCCGTACCCAACCAGCCTTCCATCCATTATCTATCCGCCCCGAGGGAATCGAGGCCACTTTGTAGCGACTTAACTGTTTCATCTCCATTCTACAGCGTAACGAAATCATCCATATCAATTTGCCACGTATCAAGAAAGGCGAAGGAGGAGGAGGAAAAGACGGTGTACGTAACAGTTGATTGTTGGAAAATTCCACTTTCCTTGCGTGGAGGAGATTATTTTGTACAAAAGCTGACTAGACGATACATCTACCCTGACTCATCTGGTTGACGAGATTGGACTGGAAGAAGAAGGAAAAAAGGTAGACTATGTCGCCAAAAAATTGCCTCACTCCAGTACGGCCAGGAGTCGAGACTTAATTTACCAAGAGGTGGAAAAAAGGGGGGGGAGAGGGGAGTAGAAATAAGGCATAAACTGTAATAAGGAAGTGACAACCCCTAAAGACAAGATGTAGGCAGCCCTAAAGCTTGAATCCCTATGGCAGGGATGACTAAGAGCGCCACAGGCGTGAGAGGTTACTGGAACCCTTGGTCAACGTTTCGTTAAGGGCTAATCACCAGCGATCACAAGAGATAATTCGACTTGACGATGATTACCTTCATGGCGTATTGAAGGACTGTGGCGTTTTGGGAACCCTCATCTTCTGGCTAATTGAATTATCCACCATGTTGCATACTACAGGGCTTTCCTGTTGACACCTTGACAGAAAGGCGATCTTATCAGGGGAAGGAGGAGGAGGGGAGGGGTTGTGTGTTTAATCAAGTCGTCAGGCCTCATGACACTGCGATTAAGGCTGACATGCGTAATACCGGTCTTGCCCCGTCCACTTGTGCAGAAGTGTTGGCATTTCCAGACGCGCGTCCGGTCTCCTCCAATTTCAGCAAAAGCGGCAACTTTAAAATGCAAAAATGAAAATGCGAAATTGTAACAATGTATTTGCAAAAATGCATAAACTTTTCTCTCGTTTCTTTTTTCCTTCCTTTCTTTTGGCCCCTGTTCATTCACTCCTGTAAAAATTGTCAGGTTGGGCGAATAGGGAATGAGGCAAAGATTTGTATGGTGAAATCCATCTCCAAGATTTTTGCCCCTCACTTCCACCAAAATTGGCCTCTCTTAAAGAACAAATGCATAACAATTAGCTCCACTTGGACTAAATTTTTGGCAGGTATCCGTAACACCACAATCCTTGTAGATTAAAGGCCAGAGCCCATCAAGTCCGCTGTTTAATCCTGCCTTGGTTTTGGCGGTTTTAATTTAAACAAGGAGATTTTCCCCAATAGTTTAAAAATGCACAAATTGGAAGGTAATTAATTTTGAAGCAAACGTCATCTTAATTGACAGCAACCGTTTTGTTTCGCACAAACAAAACGCCGTTTTTGTGGACATTCCTTGTTTTTTTTTTCTCCTGGTTTGTTGACTGTTGGTTGATTCGCTTTACACATTATGGGGTCTTTTAAAAATTTCCTAAATTGAAGTTGCTGTAGAATTAATTACAGATTGTCTTTTTAACCCAGTCGCCAATTGCCAGGGCAATTAATTACTTCAGTTGACTTGACAGTATATCATTTATCAAGTTCGCAGGTAGGAGCCAGTGACTTAAGAGATCCATTAAAAAGTTATCAGTTTGGTAAAGAAATTTACGCACAATTGTAGCCTAATGGTCAAATTCTTGCCATCCCCCTCCGTCTACTTCCTCTTCCGCTTTTTCCCCGTCTTTCACTGAATCAAGGCATCAACATGGCGGTTTCATTGACTACCCTATACCCGCCCTCGGCTTTTAGTACCCGAACATTAAAACCTGCGGATAGGTGTTCTTTTACACTCTCGAACAGACGGGAGTAGTTACACCTGACCCTAAAGCATTTTCTCAAATGTCGAAAAATTTCACCATTCGGAGACGAAGAGAATGAAAGTTTGTTTACGCATCCGCTAGGCGAAACAATTCTCACGACTTGCATTAATGTCTTCCCAAAACTGTGTGCATGATAAACAATTGTACCGACATCTCATTTTATATCCTCCTGCTCTCCTCCAATACAGCTTCCATAACCTCTTTGAGCTGCTCTGCATCGAAGAGGGGGGGAAAGGTCAAAGCCGTTGAATCTAAAAGTCAGTTGACCGATTCAACGATCTCTTTATAAGACGGGATATTTTTAACTAACACTGCTTCTCTCTCCTTTGACGTGTGAATGGATCTGATTAATTAGAGGGTATGCCAATCACTGATTCATACTTGGTTTGTTTGTCTACTTGTCCGCCCTCCTTCTCTCTGTCAACCTCTGTGAAGGTATGCAAATGAGATTGAAAAGACTTGCCGCCAAGGAGGCATTTAATTAACAAATTACTTTTACTTTCACCTTCTACCCGCCCACCCACCAACACGGAGGGAGGGAGGGTAGTGTCATCTGTGTAAATGTAATGTTTACTGTGTCTAGACTAAAAGAAGGTGCCTTAAAATACCATGGAAAGTTGTCATCAATTTTGACATTTGTTCTCACTTTAATTGTGAAACGAAAGGGAGAGAAACAGAAGAAATTAGTTCCGCAGACATTTCATAGTTGGTTGGCTATCACTTTATTATTCCACACGCTTCATCAATCCGACTGAAAAGAATCAACCGTCAAAGTCTAATTATCGCCTCTCTTTGGTCAAAATAAGGTACCTGTTTTTTTTGCCCAAGGAAATGGTTAACCCAAGCGTCATTATTGCCTCTCTTTCTCGCCAAATTATCACTTTATTCACTTGTTGGAGGTGGGAGAAGGCGGAGGGGATGACCGAGAGTATTTCCAATTACCTCCGCCTATAACCTTATCTGAAAAGGTAGTCAAATCCACACATTTGAATACTTGAATGTGCTGATCACCAAATTGAAATGTGTACTATCCACCCACCCATCCCTCATTCATCCATCCACTTTGTTTGTTAAGGCCACGACAAAACGAGGCACCCTGGTGACGAGGGCTGTAAAAAATCTGGCAATAAAATAATGAGAAACGAACTTTTATCTACTGCTCATTTTTGCCCTCCCTCCGACATTAGAAACTTGTGCGTTATGCCCCCACCCCCAGTTAATTACCTTACCCCAAGTTGTCAAGTTGTCTCAAGCACAAAGGAGACAATTTTTTATTCGGTCAGTGTTTGGGGAAGGAAAAACGGACGAGAAAACTGACTTCTGAGCCCCCTACAGTTCGTTAAAGCCGTTCCAGTTACCGCTCTTTCCTTTTTGGATGGTTTAAGTCGGTGCGACAATTACTAAGTAACAGATGTGCTTAGTCAACCAGTTTTCACCTAAAACTCTCACATTCATTTACAGTTTAAAGGATTTTTTTTATTTTTTTACCTTGTAGGCATAATGGACTGGCAATATTTCATGTTGAACTCACTCCTCTACCTCAGTGTGGCATTACTTGGTATTCGTGGTGGAGAAATAACAGCAGATGAGGTTTGTCGAATTTGTGAAGGCTGTACGTACGGATCCATATCCTGTCAAGAGGCAGACCTGTTGCATATGTTACCGAATGACCTGCCGAACGGTATTGAAAAGGTCATTATTGTCAGCCAACGTTTTGACAGTCAATTCCTCTCCCGACAAAACATATCCTCCTACACCCTACCCGGTGTAAACATCCATGAACTCACCATTATGCATTGCGGTCTGCGTGCTATCGAGGCGGGAACCTTCAGTGGGTTGAGTAGCCTGACAAAACTAGATTTGTCAAAAAACTCACTATCTCGAATACAAGGTCACACCTTCTCGGGTTTGCGTCTGGACCTTCTTCGACTTGACGATAATCAGGGTTTGACTCTGGATTCAGAAGCTTTTGAAAATCTCACTGTTTCTTCCCTATCTATGCAAAACTGTGGCCTTCGAAGTCTTTCCTACGAGGTGTTTCAACCACTCGTACAATCAAGAAGCCTCACAACCCTGCGTCTCACCTCCAACAGTCTCACCACCCTCGATGCTCGGTTTGAACCCTTTTTCCGAAATCTCTCATTCCTCTCCCTGGCCAGAAATCCCTTTGTCTGTGACTGCAAACTCGTGTGGTTGAGTCAAACCCTCCAGCGTAAACGACGGGCAGATAGCGATGACGCATTTCGCAGGCTTAACGATGATCGCCTATTAATTGTGCCAGACGACGATCATCCTGTTTGTGAGTCCCCAAATCGTCTACGTGGGAAACAGATTGTGTCACTTTCCACGAGAGACTTTTTCTGTGGTCCTCCACAAATGCGAACACTAGAGGTGGATTTCAGCGATCTCCGAGTCGGTCAATCCGAGACGTTTAATATGACCGGAGTAGTGCTTATCAAATGTGCAGCTCAAGGCTCACCGGAAATGCAGCTGGCGTGGTTCCGACGGGACGGTCGTGGTGATGAACCAATTCGTTTGCCTGGATTAAGGCAGGTAGCCTCAGGCGTTGTAGAAGTGTCAATTTCTCACTCTCTTCTTGCCAAGAATTCCAACAGTGAGACAGAAGATGCAGGGCAACTGTTCACTTGTCTTGGAGTGGACACTTACGGCAACACAAGCGCCGATTTGTCGTTACGGTGGCCTGCTCTGCCACTACTGTCTCCTCTGCCATCTTCCCCAACTTCCAACAACCGTAATCCCATGGAACCTTCGTCTGGTGACTCAAAGTACCTTAATAATGATAAAGGCTACTTCCAGTCAGATCATCTTGACGAATTCTTTTTTATGGTGGGTTCTCAGTTTTCTCAATTCTTTCAAACTCTCTTCCCCTCTCTTAATGACTTTTGTCACTAATATGAGTCAAGTGATTTCTGGTGAACTGCATGAAATTTGGCTTATTTTCGAATAAATAAATAATGTCATAATTTTTAGTGGAAAAAAAAGTAATTCATAAACCTTGAAATGTTTTTTTTTATCTTCAAATGCCATTTTCCTGTATTTGGTTCCACCTGACTTGACCACTTATTCAGTGCCAATGTCATCGGATGACAGTTTGCCCCTCGTCCGATTATTGGTTCACAAATCAAAATTTGAAGAGCATTCAGAGCAGAGGCCTCTGAATCTGAGTAAACACTGTCAAGCATCCGTATCTGGCTATCATGAGTCATAAAACCTGTTGACAAATTAAATGGATTCAGGCTTTAGGCGGACCCCCTACTTCCACCCACAAGTGTGGAAGTCAACCGCAACTTTTCCCAGAATTCTAAAGTAGAAATATTGAAGAATAATGAAGAATGAAATCAGTTGTTGAAACTTTAAATATTTTTAAATTGAATGTTTATTTGCAGCTAAAACAACCTCGCTAGCTGACTCATGGCCTAGCTCAAACTGCTCGGTAAATTAGTAGTCATTGCGTTTTTGACCTGCGTCAAAAAATAAGCATACACACACACAAGCGAAAAAAAAAAACGACTGACTATGTAAAAATGAGATGTGAATCATTAGAAAAGCACAGTGTTGGGTAAAAAAGGCACGAAAAACACGACTCTCGACACTGTTCGTAAATACGTTCCACTTCGTTCCAATTTGGCTTGTCATTGCAGTTCAATTCTTTCGGTGGGACTACGCGTACTCGTGGAACAGAGGGTAAAAATTGCGCATTTTTTGGTATTTTAGAAGAAATTCACAATTCTTGAACTGATTGGAGCAGTTGTGGGCACATTCACTGCAACTATATTACTCTTTCTCATGGGCTACATTCTCCTCTACATGCGTCACCGACAGCAGTGCCCAAAAAGCCCCTCGAAGACGGTCTATCCACTGGTGACAAGTACAGGACTACCGAAATTTCCAGATTATCAGGTGCTTGAATCTAGCCCACAACATCCTATTCAAGGTCCTCTGGAGGCAATCGGTAATCAATCTTGTGATCTAGCGACAGAGAAACGGCGTCTGATGGCAAAGACAGAGTGGACGGATGCAAGGCGTGGTCCTGAGGCACGAACAAGTAGTGGAGTCTACTCAGAATGTCCCACCTACGATCTTCCATCAAATCATATGGCATCTGCACCATTGCCTCCCCTTCCACTGGATCCTCCCCCACCATCACCACCTTCAAAGACTAGCCAATTCGGAACAGTGAGTGGAGTGCCTATTGTATATCCACAGCCTCACTTCCTTGATCCTGCAACAGCTGCGGCTGCTGCAGCTGCAGCTACCGGTAATGGGAACAGTAACCAATCCAACAGTCTTCTAGCTCAAACCCTCACCACCAACGCCATCTTAGTCGATATGCTCACGATGCAACGACGACAACGTCAGCTGCAGCAACAACAGCAGCAGGTATCTGCTCTCAATCAGGAATTCCGATTTTAGGGCTATTATCTGCAAAACTCCTTCCTCCTCCTCCCCCTCCTCTTCGCCTTGTACATACCACTAATATTATCGCCCCCCCACTCAACCAAATACCACTTACTACACTGTGACTGCCTAAGGTGCACCTGCAATGCCTCCTAACACCGCCACACATAAACAAACAAGCAAACACAACACAAGCACAAATTGAAACGCCTTTCCTTTGTTTTACGAAGCTCTCGGAACCGGAACCATTAATCATATTGGTCCCAAATATACATATGCATACTATATATCAAGTTACCAGCTGAAAATTATCCTTTTAAATAACAACCTTTTTAGGGGGAAAAAATCTAGTTTTCAACAGACCTCACTCCTTGAAATTAATCCACGCAGAAGCTATCACCTCAGATTGAAATGATGTTGATTAAAACTTCCAATTTTAGGCTTTTTGAAGATCGCATTAATTTGGTGTTCGTCCTTTTGTCAAGTAAACAAAGTCCGAAGAGGGCTGAGTGAAGAGGAAGGAATTCCGCGACACCCTATGCAACGGGGGCCCCTGTGACTGATGAAATCGGGCACAATAACCGCACTCGAGTAGGTGGTCCTTTGTGAAAACCCTCTGATCTATTGGAGGACTCTGAGTCTTTCCTGGATTCCAAAGAAATCACAGTACTGGAACAGAAAGTGTATTACTGACGCACAGAAGTGCTGAGAGGCTACTGGCATGCTGGGAGGCCATACCGGCGAGCGGAAGAACAATCGCGGGGCCAAGGGTTCCCGTGGAATCCAAAGGCCGAGTTAAATAAACAAAGTATTGTGGTGTCTCAGACACAGTAGCAATTGCCGTGGATTTAAAAGTGTAAAGTAAACTTTCTGACTTTGAACTTTTGGAAGAATTAGAAAAATTTAGTTAATTTTGTGGGTGGTTTCCCGATGAGCAAACAAAATCTAAAGAGGAAAGAGTTAAGCGGACGAAGTTTGCAACACCCTGTATAATAAAGAAGCCCTACGATTGATGACCTCCGTGGAGTCGGGCCTAATAACTCCTCGGGAATAGTTTGTCCTTCGCAAATACTGCTTGAGTGAACGAAGCGAAGCCTGTCAAAACAGTCAACCGGAGTTTAAGGTGCATTTTATGATCTGCATTAATGGAAGCCATTTAGAGGCTCTTTTTAATGGATAAAACGGGTTCCTAGCTGAGGAAGGTTCTAAGGCGGAGGAGAAATGCCTGCACGCATTGCATTATCCCCTTGGCATATTTGATGGAGACACTGGAAGTGCTTTCTCCGCTAAATACATTCTTTTCTCATACAAAATCTTTCGCCCATATTTTCAGTACACTCAAGGTATGGAAGACCAAAAAGAAAAATGGGAAGCAAGGAAGTTGCTTGCTTTAGAAGTCATGCAGACAGTTTAGGTTCGGTCAAAATTTATTCCACGGTATTTAACTTGACGGTCTTAATTAGTGGAAATCGTCTTCTTTTGGCAGCTTACTTAAACGATGGCCGCATCCTTTTATTCCAAGTTGGAACTCTTCTTTTTTCAGGAAAACTGGATACACTACTCGATTGTGCCCGGTGTCAAGGGAGTCACTTTCAAATAAATGCTCTCCATGCTTAAAGGGGGTAAAAAATGACGACCCCTATTTAAAGCAACACTTTTGATTGCGCTTTTACTAGTCTCGGTATTAAATCAACATTTACATTATCTCTGGCTCCTTTGGTGATATTTTCAGGTTTTATTAGCAAAGCTTATACTTTTAGCTCAAATAAGGAATGGAATCTAGCTCCCCCACCCCTAACTCCTGCCAGATGTTAAGAGAAGCTCTAAGGAGCCGTCCTTGTTAAAGTGCTTTGTTTTATAATGTTGAAGCGTTTTAACAATGGTGAGCTTTTTCTCGGTACAATTTTGCGTAGCTTCTACACCTCCCCCGCCCCACCCAAAGGACATTCTGAGTGTGTCCTTTTTCACCAATACAGGGTCATCGTCACTCATGGTGTTATAAGTGCGTATGAATGGTGACCGTCTAAGAAAGTGAACCACCTAGCCAACTGATGCGCACACAGATAACGGTTTTCCAGAGTCGTGCCTCTTTCCTACTCTCAGTGGGGATTGCGATACCGTTTGTGTTCGCACGGGCAAGTGCTAGTTCATAAAATGAAGGATACTATTTGACTATCGTATTTTCTTTTACCAATCCATCGCTTTATTGTGAAAAAAAAATCGGAATACATAATAAAGGGTTAGTAAATGTGTTGTAACAATGTCCCCCAGCTCCCCTTTTTTCCTTCTCGTTAATCCCCCTCCGGACAGCATGGGTTTTTAAACCCATCAAGAGTTATGCAAATAATGTGTATTTAAATTTGCTTAATAGCAAGAAATTGATATTTAGAAAGCCAATTTCTTATTAAATAAATTATGTTTAAAATAAATTGGAAATAGGACTTGGGAATGCTCATTTTAACTCTTGTTAAGATAGAATTTCGAATTCTCCTATAAAACACGATCATTGAGGATTAATGTGTAATTGTTTAGCCCCTCGTGTCTTCAGTGAAGACGTAGTAAACCAAATTAGTGGTGGGAAACATACTACTTACTAAACTACTGAATAGCCTGAAAAGCTGTCAGTATAGTTCTAAGGCCAACCTGAGGAGACTGGAGTTCTCACATGGCTAAACACCTTATGAAACAAACCATCAGACTACCGCAATATTTTTAAGCTTCTCTACTCGCTCTCGAATGTGTAATAAACTAAAGTAGTGGGAAAGAGCATACTACTTACTGAGCTACTGAAACGTCAGGGAGCCAATTAACATGGCCCGAGGGCCAATTTGAGGAGGCTGAGATTTCATTATAGCTAAATATCACACAGTAAAATAAACCACCAATTTTACCGCAATTTATTGTCCCTCCACTCTGGCACAATACAAATCCAGTCAAGTACTTTCATTTGGAAGGTTCTCTCCAAAGTCCATCTTTCCCCCAATTCTCCAGACAAGGGGATAATATACTAGACATTATTTCTTGTAAGGTTGTTTTTCTCAAAGATGACGTTGTAAGTTAAAAAAATGCTAGATCTATTTCGTATATGCCTGTTTTCGGTGGTGGATTTTGAGGCATGTGATGGCCATCATTGGTGCTGCATCGATTATGCCTCATGCGAGTCCGAAAAATAAACCTGACAGTCCTGATAAAATCTAACTGTCGAAAAATATATCTCTTTTTCCTCTTCCCTTCCCTTTTATTTCCACAGAGTAAACACCAGTACTATGTAGCAAGAGGTCCTTTGGATTAATTTTCGGAGACATTTAGGAGGCATGTATTCTCGGTGGGGCCAGAGCCCTTGAACAAGGAGTGACTTCCAGCATCAAAGTGGAATTTACGGTTTTACATTTGTAACCAAATGACAAAGCAGAAGTAATTAGGTATTTTTTCTGCAAACAAATGTTTCCAAGTCGCTGAAAAATGAAGAAAAGTATATCCTTACTGCAATTCGAGTAGGCAATTGACAGCGCTTGATGTTTGAAATGGGTGTTTGAATCCTCACCGCTGGAGAAATTTAAAAGGACCGCACATTTGTGCTCATTAAATTCATCAAAGTTTCAACTATTCTAAGTCAGCTTCGAGGGATATGCCACCTCATCTAGCAAGAAGTAATGCCTGATGAATGACAACAGTACCCCAGGCTGGAATCGCGTGTCAGAACAAATCATGAAAGAAATTTTTCCAACAACTGCCATTTCGAAGGCACACTTAAAATACCACTTCCTTACAGCTTGTTCATTAAAACAGGATTTTCTTCTTCGCCCTAATCAGTCTGAAAATGAATATTTTGAAGTTATTATGTCTTTTCCTGTCTTGACATTTAAGCAAGAAAGCTTCCCCTCATGCTTCACAAAGGTGGCAGTAACATCATTTCGGACGCTCCGAGCTATGAAATGGAAAGAAGAGTTAAAGGCAAACCATTTGTAGATGAGATATGCTATTTAATAATTAATCCTTCCCCAAAATAGGTAGCTACTACTCCCTAATCTCTTCGTATCAGACTTCAAACACACATACAGAGAGAGAGAGGCGGGACACCTTCTGGGGATGCCTGAAATCCTAGGAAAAAAAATATTTTTTTTATCTCCTCCTTTGAATTTCTGGAAAATTCCCTTTCCTTTGGTTTATTTTCTAAACATTTTAGAATGCCTTCAACCTCGCGTTTACGTTCGGTCCTCCGGATTGACCAATATCACGAAGAGATGGACTTTAAATCCGCTAATGGCCAGCATAAGGTCAAGGCCGATCAAACTACTATGAATAGAAGGGGTGTGGAACCTGCTTGTGTCTCCAACTTTTCACCAATGGTCACGTATGCATACATACCGCACCTCCAATTCGCTCCACCTCCTGACTATCAGGGTGGAGGGATGGAAGACCTCGAAAGTATTCAGGCTCACCAAATAAATTTGTGCGGTTTTTTTTCTCCGAAAAGTAAACAACTGGAAACCCAAATTTATCCACCGGAGAATAGGTTATTCCTCCCTTTCCCTGCCCCTCATGATTGTCAGATGCCAAGAAGAGGTAATCACAAAAACTTCTCTTCCATCCCATTCCAAGGATGAAGGTCTACTCCCGAATATGAGTTTTGTGGCTGCCTTTTTGGTTTTTTTGGACCACTTCCTTGCACACCGAGTTATCTCGCAATAAATGGGTGGACCATATAGTCCAAACTGTGCTTTGGCCTTCAGTAAATGAACAATTCATGGTGAATAATTGCATCTACAGTACATCACCACACACAGATGCAAATTCGGTACGACATTTGTTTAGCTTCTGCCACCTGATTTGGGTCTTTAAAGTTCTAGACACGCTAGTAACGGGTGCGATGTTTTAGTATTGCCAAGTCTGGATGATCAACCCTACCTTATTGCTTCACTACCCGGTGATTCACCGCCAGAGTCAAATTATGTAGTAAAACCTGTTGTGGGTGGTGCGATCAGCCACCGCATACCACAGAGTCGCCAAATGAGTGGAAAATTTCTGGCTCCTTTGAATCACGCGCTGATTTTGAGGTTCTATCAAAACAAGATTTCATGAGGTCAAATGTCGGTTCTTCTTCATTCGTTTTAACGGTAGCACCATAGGGAATAAGAAAGGATCAAACCACAAAAGGAGTTCAATGAGTTTGCTTCCATTGCCTCCTGTAAACGCCACGGATGGTGTTTTAAACAGCTAAAAGAGTTGATGAAAAAAGAAAATATCCTTAAGCACTTCCCTAACTATCAGAATTTTTTCCTAACGAATAAAAAAGAAAGTGGCCAAGTGTTAATTTACCCTAGGTAAGGGAGGGCGCGTTGTGGAAATTATTTAAGACAAAAAAAAGGCTGAGAAGAAGCATCTGACATTCTTGGTGAATCCGGAACAAAAAAAGATATATATTCGCTGGTTTTATCTGATTCACTCAACAGAAAAGAGATATAAGAAAATGTGTGCCATGGATGAAGTGAGATTTATCTACAAATTGACTGCAAAACCTCTTTTGTGCCTCGAGTGAGGCGTTTAGGAAAAAAATCCAAAAGTAATTTGCTGGCATTGAGAGGAAAAATGCTTTATTTTGAATTGCCATGGGGAATTAGTAAACCCGGGCATGTGTAGGCCTAATCAGATTGCCAAAATATCAACCGTGACTGTTTTGCCTGGGCAGGGAAACAGGACAAAAACAACTGCGGTTCATCAGCTAATCCAGCTTTCCCATCTTGGTGGAGGGGAGGTGGAAGATGACAGACTACATGTTCTTACTTTGTCAAGGGAAAAAATAAGGCCTTTATTTTGACCAATTGACGCCTGTTTAATTTAACCCCCTCAGTTGTCCATAATGCAGTGCGCTGAAGTGACACGTCTTAAACATCTTCCGGAATTTGGGACGAATCACGAACTTTGTGCTTCTAAAATGTAGCAAAGGGGAAAAGAAAAGCGGAACTTTTCTGCCCGGTGGCATAATTGAGGGCGTAGGTGCATAACTACTCCGAAGATATTCGCCTATGCTAAATGAGCATATCCTACTTAGACTCGATATAAGTAGACTGCAAAGTGGTTGTTTTAGAATATAAAATAAGTGGCAATTTAATTGCTTGGTAAGTAATCTATAGAATAGCAAATTTAAATGCAATTTTCATCCGGGAGAAGCAGTAATTTTTAAAAGAAAATGAATAACTTGCAAATGGAATAAATCTCTATAACAAACTTGTTATTAGAAGTCTTTTTTTCCCTAATAACTTTTGGATAAAATGTGCCTTTTAACAATCAAACTGAGTAAATTGACAACTCCTGCTTAAATGTTTTAAGAGACGCGAGAATTTTGGGTTTTCTTTTCCTGACTCCCCATTGAACCAACAATGAAGCCGTGGTGGTCAACTCCTAGTATGAAATAACGTTTGCCAACAAGATCTCCGGTTCATTTTATTTTAAATCATACTTGGTTGAAGTGCTTGTCTTTGTCTGTTGAAGTTGAATAATTAGAGAATAAAACCAAAGAGACAGAAAAGCCGTCACTTTTGATCAAATCGGTAAAAATCTTGGAAGAGTGTCCTTTTTTCCCTTAAGATAATCGCCTTGGTTCTGTAGATTTAGAAGAGGTGTTTTTGACATATTTGTTTATTTGCCTCCTCTACACAGATTTGCATGCATCTTCTTCATTATTTTATGCATTAGAAGGCACAAAAGTGATGTGCCATATCAACGCGCATCCAGAACCTCTTCCAACCTCTAAGTGATGCTTTGTCACTCTATTTGGTGTCAATCAAACAAGTAGTTTTTGGTGTTTTCTAAACGTTTAGCGGTTTTTATGAAGGTTTGGGTCCAAGGTTCATGTGCTTGTCGGTACTTGTGAAGGCGGCACATACACACATATATGCCCTTAAAAGGAACAATTAAGAATAGCTGATGAGTTTTAGTTAACTTTTTCGCCCCTTTTCGGTGTAATTATGCCGTAAAAGGCCAAAAGACTGGAGTTTTTGTAGAGCTAATCACAGACACCAGTGATAGCAGTAGCAACAGGAACCACAATATGACTGTGCATGTCTGCATAATGGCGTCCAAATGGGCTTTACCTTTTATTTCCCGCTCTGACTATGAAGAGGTGAGGAAATGCCTCTGTTCCTATAAAATACAAAGATATTTTGTAAGCTAGAAAACCACAAGGCTTAAAAATGCTTTTAAAAATATTGTACATTAATGTATACTGTAATAAAGCCACAAAATTGTTTCCGGAGACACCCATCTCCTGTCCACCTCGGAGGCAGTGAAGGGAGATGATGCTGGTTTAATGTGAAATTGAGCTAACATTCCCCGATTTAGTTTGTCACAATTGTGGAAGTAAAACAAAATTTGCGCTTTGTCCCTTCAGAAAAACACAACTTTGGTGAGAACGTCAACAGATCGGGCAAATCTAACCGCCTCCGCTTCTGCCTATAACTCTTCTCCTCCACATGAGATTGTCCAGAAAAGATGATGTTTATTTCCTGGATAAACTGTCATGTGGACAATGCGGAGTTGGTGCGGAGCGGGATCTTGCCCCTAACCCATCCTATCCACTCCTAAAGGGCAAATCCTCTCACACTTCAGTTTTGAGGTCTTGAGTTGCATTGTGCTGATCTGGGTTGACTTATTTCCTATTTCTGTTCATTCCTGAAGAAGAAACTCTTTCATACCTTCGAGGGGTATGATCTACAGGGTCACGAGCTATTCTTTCCACATTTCACCGGATGCCCAATGGAGTGTTAGATTGATCAACAAGTTTAGCCGAGGAAGGTAAGTGATTCCAAGGGTCACAGTAATTCAAAGCGAGTCCTATCATGCCTTTTATCTGTTTTCCACCAATGTTGAGGTACAACTTGAAAGGGTTGACTAAAACGTAGAGAATCACCTTAACTGTTGCTTTGTTGGACTTCGACCCTCTAAATGTGTGTCATCCTGACCAATACACATTAGACGCCATTAAGCAGCTAATCAACGGAGGCATGCACTACCACTACATTCTTGGTGTCCGTTATTAAGTCCGTTTACGGTCGACATGTCTCAGTACCACTTAAGAAAGTCGCTCTCTCTGCACGCCTTTGTTTGTCAATTCAGTCTACTCCAAACACTAGGGTGTGCTCACCTCCTTTTTTGTATTTGATAATGTATGCTGGGATTTGGAGGTGACAGAATATGTGTGGAAAAGATTTTCGGCTGTCAGTTTTACAAACGTCACGTCATGGTAGGACGACGGCGGAAAATAAAAGTAAATAAATAAATAACTAAAAACTGTGACTCACCTCTTCTCTTGTCAGGGTTGCTCACCCTAACCCACCGGACTCAATAGCTCCCTTTAGATTAGTCGACAAAGAATTGGTTATTTTTTGTCTAACAAAGTAGATCTTACAAAACAGGAGGGGAGGATAGAAGGAAAAGAGCAGTTGAGAATTTGCTGTATAAACAGAGGAAATTTTAATTGAGAAGGAAGTTTTATTCTGAAGATGGTTGTCAAATATACTGCTATGGTAACCAGGATTTCGGTCACATTTACCATATGTTATTTACCTGTCACTGTCATTTTTGCCTCTGTAACAAAATAGGAGACAATATCAAAGTAGCGTGTTGCAAAAGTAATAAATTAAAATAATTCAGTTAAAGAGATAAGGTGTGGTAAATGAAAGCGAAAATTTATTAAGAAGTTGGTGCCTTATTTCATGGTATTTCTCGGCAAATATGACTATGGTCTATTTCAGTAGTCCAAGTTAAAGAGAAAATAGGTCAGATTTATGCAGAGAAAATAATTTAAAATAGTAAATTTGTACGCTAACAATCCTGAAATTTATCAGTAGTATCCAAAATATCAGGGAATTTTTCACATTAGCACCTAATTAATTACATTTATCGTCGTAAACAGGATAATCGTCTAGTTCAGTAGTTAAGAATAGTGGATTTACAGGAGAGAAATTAAATTTATGTTAAAGAGTCATTAAAAACAACAAGCCTCAAATACAACAACGCTGAGATTAGTAAGTAGTATCTAAATATGTGAAAAAGGTTCGCATAAGCATCCAATCAATTCTGTTTAAAAATAATTTTTTTGACAGTTTTCATAGCACGAGAAGAATTCAATCTTCAAATATCATCTGGCAGATGTCGTTCAGACATAAATAAGTTTATCTAAACGTGGATTTGCAGTCGGAGGCACTTCAAGTCATTTGGGAGCAAAATGTCGCAATTTTTTTCCTGATTATTCAATAGCCTATCCAAAATGACACACCGATCTAGTGTTTGTTGATAAAATCACTCAAAAATATCCCTTTTTGTGACTTAATTTATTTGATATTCTTTCGAAATAAATCAGGAACGGCACAGCGTTTTCCACCGAGAGGAGGAGGCGGGAGTGGGGGCGGCGGGCAGTCCCACCCACCATTAGCCCTGCCCTTGCAAAATAAATTGTATAGGAGAGAGAATCCATATGGTACAAAGTATTAAGCGTGGAAAGATATTACATAGATGCTCTATCTGCATTTACCTTGCGGTAAACACTACACGGGGAATAAAATTGTTTACCACCGAAAAAGGTGTTAGATTTTCTTCAACTTACTAAATCTTGAATTCGCTTTATCTGTATTTATTGCAAGGAGCTCAACATTGAAGAGTGTGCTGAATCTCTGCCGATGTGTCCACTGTTTGACAGATATCTCTAAAGCAGTGAGCTCGAGCAAACGGCGGAGAAAGCTAGGGCCAAGTCTTTGGCCAAATGGGGTTATCTTGCCAAGGCCAACGAGTTGGCACCTCGAGTCTTCCACAAAGCCTCAATAAGGCGCGCTTGCATTAAAAGGATGGCTTACTATAAGTGGACATCGGGTTTAGAAGACCATGGGCACAGCCAGGAGATCAAGACTTTAGGGTAAAGTAAAAACAAAGGAATTTAGAAACCCGGCTTATTAATTGTCCATTAAAACAACTATTAAGCAAATATAACTGCTTTTATTTAATCATGTGTTTTCCACAATTACCCTCTTTTGTAGTGATTTGACTTCTCTTTTGATAAGCGCTTAAGTGCGAGGACTATTCAGTCTTGCCGCAATGGTCTGAGGGAGCCATTACTACCAAAATCTTAGTCCAGTGAACACCCTCCGTCTCCACGATAGTGACAATGGCAAGTGAGCCCAATATGGGAGAAGAATAGTTCTGATTATTCCTATTTGGTTAACAAACCTTCGGTGATTCGATACCGGAGGGTTCAAACAACCTCCCTCTGCTATAATTAGGCTCCACTTTCGAGTTCCTCACAGTAAACTGCTGAGGGATTAAGCTCCCTAGTCGCCAGATCACAAAATTCCCGTGTGTGGTGTTGACTTCTGGCAAAGTTTACTACGAGGAGCAGAGGATGCATAAAGAAAATTCTCCTCCGAAGGAAATATGCTGGTTTTTTACCAGCATCCTCCAAAGCGGGTCCTTTCCGATCTAAACAGAGGCCTAACCCAATCAAATGGAAGCGACCTCGTGTATGAAAGAAAACTACTAAATTAATACACCACAAAATTGGCCAAAAATCTGTACAAATAATCCAAAAATTGACCAAATATGACCATAGACAGTCACGATTTATTTGTTTAAAGTAAACCACTGTATGAAAGCGGTTGTTTACTGCTCCAAGTTAAAATTAAAAAAGGGTGAGAAGGTGGGGAGAAGGCGGAGGGGGCGAGAATGGGAAATTTTATGCGGGAAGTTTACTTACGAAATAGAAGGGCCTCCAGTTTGTATGCGTACAGGAGAGAACGAAAAGTAAAAAGGATCAATTTCTCTTTAGAAGAGTTAAAAAAGAATTTGCCTCTTGATTTTATTTTTTAAGAAGAGAAAAAATGTTCTGCAAAGCGAATTATATAAATAGGAACACATTGTGCGCCTTTTTCCCTCCCTCTCTCCCTCTTCCTCACCTTTCTTCTACCTCCAAGGCGTAGAGGAAGGTTTAGCGTTGGACAGACAAGAAATTGACACCTAGTAGTAGGGTATAGGTCCGCGGTTTTCTAGAAAAAAAAAGAGAACCAATTGATGTACGGTCAACTCATGTTGAGAATTTGGCCATTTTAATGATGCTGGATTGACCGGTGTCAATTAGTACCGCATGCCTCCTTTCACTTCGTTGCATGTCAGCTCGTGAATTACTGGCTTTTGTCCAGGAAATCAGACAGAAGGCGAGTGAGCCGTCAATAATCACTCATGATTGGCAGCAGTTTATGTTCATTCCAAGTGGAAGGTGTTCTCTTGATGTCACAATTGTTTTCTCCGAGAATAGGCAAACAACAACGCCATAGAGGAGTCATCGCACAGACGTCTTGATTGAATAAATGCATAAAGAAAAGAGTGAGAAGGAAAGACAGGAAGAAGGCGTGACTAGGTCTTTGCACTTCAACTGACGGAAGATGTCCATTAGGCTGGTGATAGGCTTGTTGTGGTGAGCTGAAGGCCCAATTTTGGACACAAACAGGAAGCCATGACACCTTATGAGGAATTTATCATAGAATGGTCGATAAGGTCAACTGTCTAAACCGTTTTTTAGAAAATAATGAATATATGCTGTTGAGGTAAGACATTTTGGATTGCATAAGTCTCAGAAGGTTCTGGCAAAACATTTTGGTGATGTAGGCCTTGAAAGCCCTCTTGAGTGAGGCACGGGTTTTTCCAGAACTTCACTTTGGAGGGATATTTCCAAAGCCGCCTAGCTCACAAATAATTTCGGGTTCTACTTCGCATTCACTTCCAAACTGCCTGTCTCAAGGTACTGATAATTGCTTATTGCATCAAATGAAGCGGAGTGGAGTGGTCCCAGTCGTGGTAGTAGTAGTAGTTGTTGTTGTTCGTCTTCAGCAAATACTCCTACCCACTGCGCGAACTGCCATTGAAGACTACTCCACGCAACGTATGCATTGTCTCCTGGCGATCAAGAAGCGGGGGAGAGTAGAGGGATAGCGAGCTCTTCGTATGAGGTTTTCCAGCTGCGTATCCATTGTCTCAACAAACGTGGCACTACAAAAATTCATTTCTCATCGTATCTCGGTCAGCCAGTTTGTCCGACGGTTCTTCTGCCGCCAGTCAATTCAAAGCGCACGACGTGTTTGTGTGCATTCAGGAAAGATGTGAAGGGGAGGTGAATTGACCCAGAATTCCATTGTCACCTGGTTCCGCCTGAAATGCGGCATCCATCTACCTAGCTTCTTTGATTCCTCCTTCCTAGCTGATGTGGTCATAAACCGGTTGTTCTATGCCTGTACTTGTGCTCAAGATTACTGAGGGTTTTTAACAAGGCCACTTCCGCTTTACTTAATTTACGATGACGCCCAATTTCTCAATATAGGCACTAGAGTGTTTAAGCTATCCATCAGAGGAATAGATACAGTTAAATCCTTACTGGATGGAAGAGTTCAATGCTGCACCCTCACAAAATGCAGTGCCACGCATTTGAAGAGAAGCATCGGCAGGTTGAAGGTCCATAAAATGGACAAATTTGCATCGCATCCAATAGGCAATGGCACAACAAAGTGTCTCGTGGCGTACTTTATAATTCATGCATATAAACAAACGCACGCGTTTGACAGGTCACTTCTTACAGATTGCAGGAATTGTATGTGCTGTAAACCCCACGGAAGGTTTTTTTGGATCGTCCACTGGAAAGTTGGATGTAAATTAAATTTGGAATTCATTGAGGCCATGATTTACCCTTCAAGAGGGACTATGTTATTGAAGAAGGCGGAACATACACTGGATTAGTTACTCTTCCTCTCTACAGGGTTAAAGCAGACCACCGAGGCAATATGCGTGAACATCACCAGCCATCCAACTAGAGATGGTACTTTAAAGACGTATTATGCCATAACAGTCAATAATTAAAAGAGCTGTCGGTTTAACAAGGGGCTAAATGACTTCCACCGTAAGTGGTATGGGCGAGGAGTTATGATGTCAACTTGGTAATCCTTTTTCTCCCACATATCCTAGGCCAGTCACGGATAAAAAAAGGAAGAAAATTTCTTAGATTCTTATAAATCAAGCACAGAAAGTATCGGGCACAGTAAAATAATTCATGAGGTTTTCAGGGCAGATCTTTGCAATGACTCCTTGCAACCCTGGGAAGGGGCTTGTCAAACGCGCAGGTTTGTTTATATGCGTGGATTATAAAGTGCGCCACCGTACTCTTTATTGTGCCATTTCCTACTTCTTGCTTACTTCAAATCAGGTGGATGTGATGCGAAGTTGTTTGATTAACGGACTGAGACTAAATCCACTTTGTAACAACCTGTAGAAGCTTCCCGTCGAATACGTGACGCCGCATTGTGGGAAGGTACGACAGCAGAACCCGCCTACCCAACGATGATTTACCGACTTCTGCTTCAGTGATAGATCACTCAAAAATGCGTCACATTTGGGAGGGCAGACACTTGATTCCCGATAATGAAGAATTGCGTGCCCTTATGGGTTAACCTAAGCGAAGGGGGCCTTGTCCAGACCCCTCTGTAGTGGTAAGCATGAGTGCGGGCATCAAACAACTGGCTTATGCCCACATCAGCTTGAAAGGTGGATTAGTGGAAGATAAGTAGATGGATGCCATATGTTTGGAGAAATCAGGCAGTAATAAAGTTCTGGGTTAATTCTCTTCCCCTTCACTTCCTTTGTACACGTTCGCAAACTCTTCACGTGTCTCAGATAGTTTGCTAAATGACGGGCGGACCGACTGAGGTTCGATGAGAAATAGTTTCTGTAGTTCCATGTTCATTGAGCCAACGGTAGCACAGTTGGTTAGCCCCAGACGATAAGCTCAATATCTATCCACCCTGACATATTTCTGGGGCATGCATCACTCGATCGTCAGGAGACAATGCATGCGTGGTATGGATTAGGCTCCGATCCCAATTTGCAGTGAATTGGTGGGTTTACTGAGGACCGAACTGCTACATCTGCTACGACTGAGACCTCTCCACTCTGCATAACTTTACGCGTACCCAAGATATACGAAAAGAAGCTTCTCCTCTCCAGGTTGAGTAGGGCCATCAGCGACGCGTCAATTATTCAGAGGGAATAAAGTCATAAAAAGCCTCAAAGCATTAGTGAGTGGAGCGGCACTTTATGGTGGATCGGTAAACAGGCCCTTTCTCACTACATTCTCCGTATTCTGCTGACGGTATTTCTCTGAGTGATTAGATTCACCTTTTCCAGGTAATTTGGAAGCTAATTGGATGATCCCCAGGGAAAATTAATCAATATTGGAGAACTCAAATACGAAAGAAACGGTAACAGTTAGAGCCAGCTTTATGGGATTCTAGAAACAAAATACTTATTAGAGGTGTAGTTTTCATCCGCGTTTGTCTCGCCAGGAAATGTTGAGAAATTGCAAAAGGGATTGGTTTTTCCCTGTCCATTTAC